CCTCCCTCGACCTGCTGGCCACGCTCCTCTTAATGCACCTGATCTAAGGACTCACAAAAGGGGAGTGAACTGGATTGTAGGCGAACTGAGGAACCGGCTGTTTCTCTGCCTGTCTTGTATTTTATAAAATGCAAATCTGCGTGTTTGTATTAAAATAAATCCCCTCGCTTCAATGCCCTTGTGCCTCTGAAGGGAGGTGTGAGGAAGAGGGCTCACAGGTCTGGGGTGGTTGTTTGCATGAGGACGGTGGGATGTGGTGGCCAGGACAGCGAGGGGGGTCCCCGCCCTCCTGGAGGGTGTCAGAGGGGTCCCAGCCTGTGGGACCACCGTGAAGACCAGCAGAGTCACCACACTGCCCCATGGGTCTTGTCTCCACGGACTGGTGTCCATGCAGAGAGCAGAGCCAGGAGAGTTTGCAGCGGGTGCCATCTCTCAGCCTTATTTTAGTATCTTTCCTCCTTTCTTCCCTCCCTCAAATATTTGGGGCTCCCCAGCAGCCCTGCAGCAGCCACGAAATCAGAGCCTAAAGCTGTCATGTTCATATCACGTCTGCTTTCCTCTGGCCGTCACGGTGCCTTCATCCTTTGATGTTACATCCCGATCAGCGCCCTGCCTGTCAGAGAGGCTTTCTGGGGGCGATCCCTCATGGACCGGCATGGCAGGGATTTGCCGGATTGACTCGGTGCAGAGCCCGTCCCCAGCCGTTCTCCCAGGCACGGCGAGCCAGGCAGCCCTGCTAGGGATAAGCAGCTCCTCTCCAGACTGCGTAGGCCAATAATGCCACCAAACCCCAAAACGCTCATTTGTGGGTGAGCAAAGCTGATCTTGCCTCCATTGCTGCTCAGGCTCCGGGTGCGGTGGAGCTGGATGATGCCTGTTGGGCTCGCAGGGCTGCGCTGCAGAGGCTGGATGTGGTTCCTGTGTAGGGCAGGTGCTCCTGGCAGGAGGAAATTAGTGTGTCGGGTTGGGTTAATTAGTGGCATCGCCTGTTTTTGTACATGCACAGAAATGTGCATGTAATATGCATTCACACACATGCATATATGCATATAATGGACATGCATAACAGATGGCCAGCCTGCCTGGCCTCTCACACCCTGTAGCACCATGGGGTCTTGCTCCATGTGTTTGAGGGTCCCGGGGGCCTGCTCCCGAATTTACCCTCCCCTCCATCCGCTCTGCCTGGTGGGATATGCAAGTCCCATGGTGCGGAGCAGGCACTGCTTGCCACCAAGAGATCTTGCGGTCTCTTTAGCACAGCAAAGCATCACTTGGGTCGCTCTTGGGTACCTCCCTGGCTGCGATTTAAACCAAGTAAGAGGAAGAAGCTCTTTCCTGTGAAAGCTGCATCCCAGCGTCGTGCCCACATCTGGTTTGCTGGGCTTTGGTGATCCATGCAGCCCAGCTGCGAGGAACAGAGTCAGGGTATTTGGTATTTGGATTTTGGGTTTAAAATACTGAGCTTTCTGCTGGGGGCTCAGGGAAGGAGCAGTCTTGCAGGTCTCGTGTGGTTGCTCCTGCCTTTGTGTCAGTGGTTTGGCAGGACGCGCTCTGATGCCATCTGAGAACGCCCAGGTTGAATTCCTTTCAACTTCCCTGAGATGGGTCTGCCCCTTCAGCTGTGCGAGGGCTGCAAGCAGATCATAGCCCCTGGGGTAAGCTGCACCTTTGGGACCGGAGGCAGCCCTGGGACCCGCCTGTGGCCCCCCGCTGCCCTTCGCTCCCTCCCGTGCTCCCCCAGCAGCCCCCAGGTGTACCCTGGTACCCCAGAGGTGCTGCCTCTCCCCGATCTGAAGCACTCGAGCCTGATTTAAGCTCCTGTCGTATGTCTGGGATTGATCCCTCCCCACCCGATCTGGCTGGCCTCCCACCAGGGCAGGATTTGGGTTTGGTTTTTGTTTTTTTTTTTTTTCCCATGAGGAGCTCGGCAGTAACCTAGAGCATCGCATGCTGTTCTCCGCTTGGCTCTTCTCCTGCAATGCCCCAGAAGAAAGCGGGCTCATCTCTCAGATGGGATAATCCCACATGTGCTTATTCAACCCCTAAACCAGCTGGGAGAGCCCTGCCACCCCGGTGGCGTTTGCTGGACTTATGGCACACAAAGGGATAAGAGAGGGATGTACAAAGCATGTCACCATACTGCTGCCCCGGAGCTTCATGGGGTTGGGACATCATCAGCTCCTCGGTGTGTCCTGACGGCAAAGGAGAGACTGAAACCAGCCCCAGCCTCCTGCTCAAAGCGGGTGTATCTGGGTGCTTTTGTCATGTGGGTGCCCAATAACCATGGGCACCTGGAGGGGTAGCGCAAGGCGTGTGTTGGGCTGTGACCATTTTAAAGGATGTTCTTGCGGTCTCTTGTTAGTACTTGCCCACCACCAGGCATACTGAGCCAGCCGGGGTGAAGCTGAAGCACCTGCTGGAGCTCGAGACCCATCCTTGGCGTGGGGTGACTCCTCTGTGCAGCCTGCCCCGTGTCCTGGGGACACCTGAACTGGGACTTCTGGCCCATGCTGTCCCTCCTGTGGGCACAAGGCTGGGGCCAGCCTTTACCTGCCCCCAAATCTCCTTCTGGGCAAGGGAGGAAAGCTGCAGAAGCGGGTTTCCCTCTGCTCTGAGCTCCTGCCTGGGGCTGAAGCTCCCTCTGCAGGACTTCTGGAAGCCACAGCAGGAGCAGCTCGGAGAGCTGTGGCGTGCTGCTGCTGTCCTGCTGTTACCATCACCCTTAGGATGCTCAGAGGTGGGCTGAATCTCCAGGAAAGGCCACTCTTCGGGGTGCAAACCAAGATCTTTGGATCTTCTCTGGATCTTAGGATGCTGAATCTCCAGGAAAGGCCACTCTTCAGGGTGCAAACCAAGATCTTTGGATCTTCTCTGGACAAATTAGCGACGCACTCTTCCCCAGCGCTTCTCCTTTCCTGAGCCACACTGGGGAGCTTTCAGGATGGGAAGAGGTGGCATGAGGGGGTCGATCAGCCACAGGAGTTGTAGCCAAGGGCTCATTCCTCGAGCCCCAGGGGCTGATGAGCAGGAGGTACAGTGAGAAGAAGTTGCATTTTTATTTGGGGTTGTCAGTCTGGGACTGCCACGGCACCGTGGGTGGCTCTGGTGCAGGACAGAGACCGGAGGGACACTGAAGTGGCACGCGGAAGGGGAGTCTGCGGCGGCATTGCAAGTGGACCAGGATGAAGTTGAGAGCCTGGAAAAGCCATTTGCAAAGGTGCAAGCAGTGGTTCATTTTCTCTGCTTGCTCTGTGACATAAATCAGTGAAAGGAATCTCTGCTAACGAGCTAATGAGACGACACCTTCCCATCTGGAAACACTTAATACAGCAGATATAATCGCCTCGTTGATAATTATACACACAAAAATTTTTTAGCAACAGAGCCTTCTGGCTTTGCGTACGCAGGTACAGGTTTGTATAAAGAAAGGTGGTGATGCCCTTGCTCCAGTGATGGACCATCAGGACCCCGAGAAGTGATCGGCTTTTGGAAGCCAGGGGGGGTTTCAGCCTCTGCTTTTCTGCAGGGTGAAACCCTATCTCGCATCATGATCGAGGAGGAGATCTGCATATACATATATATATATATATACGGGCATCCAGTTGATGACTGTATGAAATGTCATTTTAACATTACAGCTTATTTTTCATTGCCTCCAGCCTGGTTTGGCCATCATTAACTTCAGGAGCCAGTTCCTCTCGCTGATCCTCTTTGTGCTGCTATCTGGGGTCTGCTTAGCTGCTTAGGGTAGGCAAGCAAGTGATAAGTAAGTAAAACCTCAGACAAGTAGGTCAGAGTTTTCCAAAACATTGCTGGGGTATGTCCTATTATGTTTTTTTTTCCCTTCAACTTGAAGTAGATTAACAAGCCAAAGCAAAGTGTTTGAACTTTCAGAGGGTGGCTGTTTGCCATGTTAGACCATTTTTGAGATACCTCAGTTTCAACTCCTGAGATCTCAAAAATTACACATAAGACCTTTTTTTTCTTTTCCCCCAATCATTTTTAAAGCGTAAAAAAGTTTAAATCTTACTGAAGGCCGACTTCGGCTTTGATATGGTCTTATGAGCAACCTCACCTGAAAGCTTGACAGTGTTCATTTCAGGATGGAGTCTGGCCCATTGAACCTGTCCCTGATGTGTGAAGCTCTACGTGCGTTAGGGAGAGCCAGATAGTTCAGCATCCAGGTGTGGGCAGCTGTTCCCTCCCAACACGCCTTTCCTTCGCCCACACCTTTGGATTCGAGAGCTCCCTGTGTGGATCATGTTAAAATTAATGTGGTGTTTCTCAGTGAGACTTTCAAAAAGGCATCCAGTGCAGCACAAGCTCTGTGGGTCTCACCAGGGACAAATGAATGGATGAGTTTAAAACCAAGTAAGTGATAAGACAACTGTTTCTGAGGGGGAAATCCAACACCCAAAAAAGAGGGAGAGATTTCTGCCAAGGAAAAGTAGAAGTGCCAGAGCATCTGGGAGTTGAGCTGGGACTTCGGTATCACCGTGCCTGTCCCTGGAGGACTCGCAGGTATGACCGACAGGCTCAGTACGAAGATAAACTGGTGTTTGGCCACTGTCTTAGCAAAACATTGAAATATGTTGCTAAGGCCTCAAAATTTGGGTGGGATTCAGTCGTTCCTCGCATGAAGAAGAGAAGACTGAGAGGGGATCTCATCAACGCATACAAATATCTTAAGGGCGGAAGTCAAGAGGACGGAAGCAGTCTGTTTGCAGTGGTGTCCAGCGACAGGACTAGGGGCAATGGATGCAAACTGAAACACGAGAGGTTTCAGTTGAATATGAGGAAGAACTTCTTCACTCTGAGGGTGGCAGAGCACTGGAACAGGCTGCCCAGGGAGGTTGTGGAGTCTCCTTCTCTGGAGGTATTCAAAGCCCGCCTGGATGAAGTCCTATGTAGCATGCTCTAGGTGAGCCTGCTTTAGCAGGGGGGTTGGACTAGATGATCTCCTGAGGTCCCTTCCAACCCTTACGATTCTGTGTGTGTGTCTGTGTGTGTATGTCCTGCCCACAGGCAGCTTGCGGCTGCCAGCAGGACCAGGGGGCGGTGGGCAGGCTGCAGGGGTGTTGGGCTGGCTTTGCACCCAGCCGGCACGAGCCGAGAGGCGTTTATAGGGTCAAACTCTGGGCTTGATGTCTTACATGCTGATTTGAAGCCGATTTTGCCAGTTCAGAGACATGCTTAAGTCTTTTCCTCTGCAGAAAGCCCCTCGGAGCTCCCTGGGGGCTGCAGAGCTCCGTGCGCGTCTTGAAGCCCGAGACAGCGGCTGGATGTTCCCCGTCCTTCACCCCGTCACTGCCCTCTTCTATGTCTGTATTTTATTTTTTTTTTAGGACTGCGGCTAAACTGCACTCTGTCACTTGGGACAAAGTGATGGGAGAGATGAAATGCAGCAAGGACCACGTTATTTTATGTGCAGATTACGTTGCTCACTATGCTTTTCTTTCTCGTTATTAGGAAATAGTGGATTGGTTCAACGCCATCCGGGCAGCGCGTTTTCATTACTTACAAGTGGCTTTCCCTGGAGCCAGTGACGTTGATGTGAGTGTTCTTGTGAAGTTTGGTTTTTTTTTTTTTCTCTCTCTTGCTCATTTTTAGCATCTTGTTACCAAGCTGGAAGGCTCGGAGAGCGCTCCAGCCTTAAGAGTATTTTACAGTTACTGGGCTGAAATTATTGTGGTGGGCTGTAGAGCCCACGTGCAGCAGCCGGTACCAGCACCCAGCCTTGGAAACTCAAAATGTGAGTCGTGCACGTGAGCAACACCAGCGCTGTCAAGCGTACAGAGGCCATAAGTGTCTTTCTCAAAGGTTGTTGCTATCATCCTAAAAGTTGAAACAAAGGCTGGAAGGTAGAAAAGATGAAGGCAAAAGCGTGTCAGTGCTGTATCCAAGCCTCTGGGATAAGTTCTTGTGTGCAGGTCGATGCAGCCTGTCTTATGAATCTTTGTCTTGTATTTTCCGGGAGCTGGGACTGCTAATTGCATTTCCTTTTGCTAATGTAATACTAGAGGCTGTATTAGTGCAAGCTGACTGTAAGTGCCTTGTTTTGCAATTGCTGTGTAACATCACTGGCTCTGGACTTTTGATGTTGTTGGTTACTCTGTTACCTCCTTGACATTGTAGATTTTGAAATCTAATTGCATTACCTGCCTTCCATTAATTACCGGGGAGGGGTGCAGTGGTGGTCCGAGGCTGGCTCTGGGCTGCAGGGTGGCTCTGTCCCACATCTGCCTGGCCACGCCAGGGGTCCATCAGAGCCAAAGCCTTCCCATCGGACACATGCACCAACATCAGCTGCCCCAGATCATCCTAATCCCTGAGGATAATGGGGCGGGGGAGAAAGAAGAACAGTCCCACAGCTGATGATCCCTGGCACGAGGGAATTCAGACCATTTTCTGATAAGAAGTTAAACTGGGCAAATATGAAAAACCGTTAAGAAGAGCCTCGTTAGCCAGCTATAGTACAGTCACTGTGCAGCGTATGCTTTCCTTAATCACTTCTCTCCCTCTCCATATCCTCTACTTCTGTTAAAGTTGGTTGGCACATCTGAATTGAATTGCCCCCAAAAAATCCCACAGACCTTAACGGACTTGCCGTTTGTCCAGCAGTTGGTGAGGGGGTTTATGGGGTCACCCCCTGACAGTGTTGGTGGGAGATAAGCTGTTTTACTTATCATCCCCTTCTGGTCAATTATTCTTTGGGGGAAAACAGAGTGTAACATTCAGCGAGGTTTAATTTACGAGCACAACCTCTCGGAGCGTTCAGCTTGGGGACGACTCTGCAGAGATTGCATTATGGACGCAAGGTAGCTCAGTCTGGGTGTTGCCATCGCATGCATCTAATTTATGGTTCCTTTTCCCTGCCAGAGAGATGAAAAGGTGTTAAATTTAAACAGGAGCCAGGTTAAATGCAGTAGAGAGGTATAAATTGCTCACACCACCCCAAGGATGCCCAGGCTGCCTCTGCAGCTCCCGGGGAGCGAGGCTCTCCGAAGGATGCTTCGGGGACCCATCGCCAGGGTGGAGGAACTTCTTTGAGCTGAGGGTGATGAGCTCCTCGCTTAGCAAAGTGTGCTCAGCTCCGTCCCAGGAGCCAAATGCTGCTACGAGCCAAATGCCTGGCTATGAATGCTGCAGGGCCCTTTGCTGCCCGCGACGAAGCATCCGAGGTGAAGATGCTGCTGCGGAGCAGCTGTGTGATTTCTTTGGGCTGTTATATTTTGGGGTGTCTGCCCTACAAGCAGATGCCTGCTCGACCAGAGCTGCTGTTGGGCAGGGTTAGGTGTTGCGGGAGAGTGTTTGGCAAGCGGAGCCATGAATAACCTGTTTAAATGAAAGGCAGGAGCAGGGGCAGGGAGGCAGAGCGGCGCGTGGCCAGGCTCATTGGCCCCATTTCTGGTGAGACTCGTCAGCTTTCACGAGGCTTTTAGAGGCATCTGCAAAGATCTCGCAGCTATGGGCTTGTCTTCACTAAGCAGTGTTAAAAATATCCCCGGCGCTGGTAGCCGTTGTCAGCAATATCTGCAGGAAGGGGGGGAGCACAGGCACCGTGTCTTAGTGGGGCTTTAAAGGCAAATTAGACTTTGGGGCTTGCGTGAGGAGCTCCCCCGCGTCTGGTGGAGGAGATGCATCACCACAGCTGACCGGTGAAGCGGGATTTGGCCTGGGGGCTTCTCCTGGAGGCTGGTTGCTTTGCTGACAAAGTGCTCAAAGATGCTTCGTGTTTCTGCACCTGCCTCTTCCGAGGGCTTTGGAGAAGTGGGACCGAAGCGTTCAGCCAGAGCTGTCTTGGGCGGACCTGGGGCCAGGGGCGAGCTCAGTGTGGGCTTTCCTGCCAGTGACCACGCAGCCCAACCCCTCACATCTGGTGGCCCCCCAGCTCCCTCCGTCTGATGCTGCTCTCTTTTCTTCTTTTTTGGTTGCTCCAGCTGGTGCCAAAGCTTTCTAGAAACTACCTGAAGGAAGGGTACATGGAGAAAACAGGGCCAAAGGTAGGATATAAAACATCTCTGCAGTCCCTCTAAACATGAGTCTTGCTCTGTGCGGGGCCGAGAAGCATCCGCTGGTGGCACAAACCCTCCCTCACCAGAGAGACAAAGCCTTAATGCCATGAATGCATTCATGCACATTTCCCACCTGGAAGCAAATGTTAAAAAATCCAGAACCACTTCACAGACCAACCACCCCCTCTCCCCTCTCACTGCCCATTCCTGCAAGCCCACCTGGTATAGCTGGCCCAGAGCTTGGCCGTGGTGGCTCGTGGTGGCCCAGAAGCTACCTGTCCCCAGTGCCCCCAGCCCATTGGGCTCCTCCGAGTCCCTCCATACTCCTGGGTCATGCCCAGTAGGCAAGGAGCTGTGCTGCTTCGGTGTGTAATCCGGCATTTTTTGACTTTTCAGCAAACGGAGGGATTCAAGAAGCGATGGTTCACCATGGATGACCGACGGCTCATGTATTTCAAAGATCCCCTGGTAAGACGAAGGTGCCTGGGCTGTCTGTTGGGAATTATCTGCAGCAATAATAATAATAATAACAACAACAATAGGAATAATAACCACAATAATAATATGCAGTGAAGCTCAGGCTGGTGGGAGAGCCAAGAGGGCACTGAACGGTCACTGCTAGGTGGATCTGCCTGGTGTCCAGCATGCAAGTAGCCCCATGCACAGATATATTCATCAAAAATGCTTTGGAAACCCCGTGCACCAGCTGCAGATTTTTCTGCAGCTGAATTTTGGATCCCTGGTGTTGGTCCCATATTGTGGGTGCCCCTGGGAGGAGCTGGAGTGAGGCTTCGTGGGGTGATCGGTGCTTTTGGTGTTTGGCTGCTGCACTTTGCTGCTGGGGCTTCTGGATGGTGCAGGATGTGCCGTGTCCTGGCTGCCCGGGATGCAGAGCTCCCGTTCGCAATCATGCCTGGCTCACCGCTCCGCTGTCTCCTAGGATGCCTTTGCTAGAGGGGAAGTTTTTATTGGGAGCAAGGAAAACAGCTACAAGGTCCTGGAAGGGCTCCCGCCATCAACACAGGGAAACCACTGGCAGCATGGGATAACCATCGTCACCCCAGATCGGAAATTCCTCTTCGCCTGCGAGACGGAGGATGACCAGCTGGAGTGGATTACAACTTTTCAGAAAGTTATAAGCCGGCCGATGCTGCCTCAGGAATACGCAGGTGTGTTTGCTGGCGAGGGCTGGAGGTCAGCCTCAGCCCATTTATTTGCTGTGTGTTAGAGGATGGGATGGATGGGAGAAGGATTGGGGATGCAGCGGCATCGCTTCCTCCTGTGCAGTGTGAGCGGGAGAGCCCTTCCCCGCCCGGGGAGGATGCAGAGGCTGCCCAAGCAGAGAGGGACTCACGTTGGAAGGAGGAAGATGGTATCCTGCCCTCTTCGTCACCTCTGGCGTGGTGTCCATGGTGCTGTAAGGACGATCCGACACTCAGTTGTAAGGATAACGGGAGCCAAGGAGCATCGGGCAAGAGAAGGACCATTTGCAGGGCGGGCTTGCACCAGGCTGTCACCGCCTGCCAGTGCTTGCCCTGATTTTAACTTTATTTTCTCTGTGTTTTTCTTCCAGTGGAAGCCCATTTCAAACATAAACCTTAGCTGGGACTGGCTGGGCAGACCTGAGGAGTGAGCTTCTGTTTACAACACAACGTGGTTTTATTTGAAATGTTAAAAATAATGAATAATAATAACAGTAATAATAATAATAATAATAATACTTCCCTTTCCCCTCATCATTCACTTGATCATGTTGGAAACCAAGAAGGGTGGCAGCGAAACGTCGGAGAAGATGCTGATCCAACCCGACATTCGGCTCTGTGACCGCTCTGTGGGATGCACCGTTGGGATGGGTGGTCCCTGCAACCGCGTCACCCCACACCCGCTGAAGGGGGTGTCCCACCCGGCTTCGGTGGGATGGCAAAGACTGTTGGTGGCATGTCTCGGGGGGAGATGGGGCTTTTCCCTGCGAGCTGGTCCATGCTGAGTGTCCCCGCAGCCCCGGCTCTCTGCCAGCCCTTTCCCCGGGGGGCTGTGAGCGCCTGAGCGGTGACGTCCTCATGGGACATGAAGCACCAACCTGGAAACACCCGGAATGGCGGTGTGTGAAATGGCTGAGCCTCCCGACGGCAGTGGGGTAAATGACAAGTAAATGACCTCCCCTGGGGAGCGGCGGTGGTGCTGTACCCAGGCTAGGGTCAGGCGGGATTTAGAAATAGAGGAAATGGGCATCCTTGGCCTTGTTACCTGCCTACGGAAGGGCACGGAGAAGGGGTGCTCCCTGCAGGCGGAGCAGCGTTGCCCTCCACCCCTGGGGGCCTGCAAGGGGAAGGGGGGCACCGAGCCGCAAGGCAGCTGTGCCAGTGCTCCCCAGGTTCCCATTTCATGGTTCGACGGTGTTCACCCCATTTCAGGAGCCTGGGGTGGGGTGGGGGTGTTGAGCTTTAAGTGCAGTTTTGCAGACAGGCACCATAAAAGCCCATCCTGGCCCCCTGGCAGGCGCATCCCTCCGGCCGACGGCACGTTGCTTCTCCAAACTGGTGGTTGCACTTTTTTTTTCCCCCCCCCTAATAATTTTCTGAATTTTTTTTGTTGGTATTTTTTTTTTTCTTGCCAAAAAAAAAAAAAAAAAAAAAAAAAAAAAAAAAAAAAAAAAAAAAAAAAAAAAAAAAAAGCTGCTTGAAGTGATGTTTCAGCGCTGTGTTGAGCACTGTAATTCCTGCAGTCTGGGCGGGCTGGGACCTGCACACCGTGTGCTGGATTTTTATCCCAAAATGAAATTTCCGGCATCTGCTGAAGTACCAGCCCCAGCCAGTGACCTGTCCGACGCGTTTCTTACGTTGGTGCGTGTAAATGAGAGCATCCCATCGGCTGTATGCATTCGTTCTGTCACTGGTAAGACAACTGTGGTACTAAATGTCATTCGAACCAATAAATTATTATGTCAGAGCGGTGGCTGTGTCATGCTGGGGCAGGGGAGGTGAGCTGGGGGTAAACAAATTACAAATGAAACCAAGTAGGTGAGGGTGCTGGCAGAGCCCTGGGGGGGTGTGGGACACCCACAAACCCATCCACCCCCCCCCCCCCCCCCCCCCCCCCCCCCGCGCCCCCAGCAGCCTGGGGGAGCGGGGAGGGCAGGGGCGCAGCTGCATGCCCGTGTGTGTCTGCTGGGTAAATACATTCCGTGTAAACCACACACATATATTTATTTATGTTATAGAACATTATGCTATAGGGCACTTCTTTGTGTGTACCGTGCACACTGTATATACCCCTTTTTTTTTTAATATTGCCGTATGCACACTCATACACAAAGGAGATCTGTTCTTTAGGACTACAGAAATAAATTCTATGGGAGTCATCAAACATTCACAGCCAGAACTACAAACTGCGCATAGTAGATGGCGCATAATACACACGTTTATGTGTATAGGGGCTGAATATAGCTCATATGAACACAGGCCTGTATATATAGTTATCATGAGCCATACATTTAATTTACAAATATATAGCTAAATGTATTTCATACACGCGTCTGTGTATAATAGAGGCATTTTTAGAATTTCAAATTTATAAAATATTTAATTGCATATTATATACACGTGCATGCTTTTTATGCAAGTATAAAGCATATATTTTATATTATAAATGTGAGAGAAATATATTGCATAAAACATATATATCCACATGCATATGTGTATGCATAACTATAGATATTTAAATTCTATTAGAAGTATTTAAAATGCATATTTTGCACAGACACTGTCACTCGGCACACCCAGGCATGTCAGGACATGCTGGGCTAGGCGTTTGTTTATGGCTAGCTGTAAGGAATCTTTGTGTGCGTGTATATAATTAAGATAATTGATATTATAAATTATATGCCATACAATTAATTATTATGTACACGAAAGGCTGTTTATGTATGTCTGCCTAGAGTTTGCTATTATTTTATACACACACACACGTTCTGGCTATAGGGCTGTGGGCACCCAGGCCCACCCCAGCCCTGTGGCACCAGCAGCCCCCCCAGGTCCCGGCCCTGAGCCAAGGGGAACACATGAACTCGCTTTTAGACCCAGACCGGGGGGCGGGGGGGGGCACTGCTGCCAGACAGCTCTGCCTCCCTGGAGCTGCCCCAGGCTGCAGCCAAAAGCAATGAGCTGCTGCAGCTCTGCAATGACGTGGCTCTTACCTGCTGCTGGCATCCCAGGTCATTTATTAAGGGTGGGGGGGGTGTTCTTCCCAAGCTGGCTGCAGAGCAAAGGAAGCCACACCCGCCCCAGACATGACCATACCCCACCAAAAAGATGCCTTTGCTGCACAGTGATAATGCTGCAGCACTGAGGTCAGGGTGACCCCTGGGGTGGGGGTGTGTGGAAAAAGCAAGGAAAGTAAGAGCTTTGCTCAGAAAACTCCTACAAAGCAGCGGTCTCATACATCCTGGTATAAAGTGTTTATTTGAGACTTCACAATTAACACAAAGTCTTCCTTTCACTGCCTTTTTCATACAGTCAATAAATTTGTATTAATCCCCCCCTCCCCCATGCATGATTGCTGTTTATTAATCTAAGCCTTTTTATTTTCATCGTGAAAAAATAAAGCGTTTCCCCACCCTTTCATCTGTTCACGGTACCACTGACATCCACTGTGCTGCATTAAAGAGGAGGAGATGTAGACTGGCTATGCCTACCACTGGGGGTGAAGTTACTCCATTACTTATTGATTTATTCTTTTTTTTTTTTACAGAAAGTGTTAAATGAATCAATCGATCACCCAAGAAAAATAAATATATCAAAGAACCAAAAGTTCTGCAGTATCCCTTTTCTTTACAGCTGCAGTTCAAACGCATACGGTGCCCGCGGCAAATAATTTCATTCACTGCACGCCGTCACCTTTACATATGGTTGTGAACTTACTTACACTGAAAAAGAATCTGTTCCAAAGGAGTAGACCCACGAGCCAAATTTTTATACCTAGGCAAGAGAGAGATCCACATGGAAGCCAATTACCTACATTCCACTGATTGGCTTTTACTCGAGAGCAATTCAATCTTGTGCTTTTCAGGATGTATCGGCTAAACACGCGCCTGAGCCAGACCTCAGGGAGAGCGAAAGGCAGTGCGAATGGCACGCATGCTACTCACCGCCGTGGAAGCAAGTTCTTGGTGTCAATGTCTCTTGGATGTGCATCTCAAGTTATGCTGCTTGGCTCGTCTCGCAGTACATTTGGCACCAGCCTCGCAAATAAATTAATTCAATTGATCACCCTGCCCTTTGAGATCTTCCTTGGAGGTGGCAGAGGTCAAAGAGGCTTTCTCGTAACAAAGATGGTATTGGGTAGGCCGTGAAGTACAAGACCCATATTTATGCTTTATTGAATTACTGTGCAAAAGGGAATACTGCATCAGAAACCGTAGAAGATTACGTTTTAATCAAAGTCACCAGCCGCTGTATCGGAAACCTGCTAACAATTGCTCCGATTGGTTCGTTTGGCTACTTTTTGTTGGTTTCTTTCTTTTTTTTTTTTACATAAATAATATAGACCGAACATTATAAACATTTCAGCAACCATTTCTAAAAGACCAGAGGAGCCCTTTTAGGCACCAAGAAACCACTGCAGGATTCAAATTCCAAAACTGTCTTTGGAGTCATTGAATCATCAGATTTACACGGCACCCAATGACAACAACATTCAGTCGAGCTCGATAGGACTGCTATCTTCCTGACCCTCTTCTGTGTCATCATCTTCTCCAGTTCCCATCAGACTATTTAAAAGATTTCCTAGAATAAAATACAGGACAGTCAAAACTGCTAGTTCCACATTCTCATCTCAAACACTATTCTCCCACCATCCTGTGAGGGTACAGATTTCAGTAATGGAAAAAAAAACTTTTTTTTTTCTTTTTTTTTGGAATTAAAGAAGTCTCAGCAGGACATTGGTATTCCCATGCTGGTTTCCATTAAGAATTTATTGAGTGGGGAAGCAGTATTTTGATACTGTTCCTTCTCTAAGAGTACACTGGAAAAAACCCCACTGAAGTCACATACTTGTGTACTATAGTTGTGGCATGAGAGGAAAGAAAAAAACCCAACCAAATGAGGAAAGGCACACCTCCAGCCATGAAACTGGCAAAAAACCAACAATGGTCTGCATCACACTATAAAGAACTTGTTCAAGGTATTTATGCGTTCTCCCTGTTTTACTCAATTTAAAGATGCCTGAATTACTGAAAAGCTGTTATTTCCATATGGGATCTATGATGCTCATGCTTTTCATCAAACTTCAGGTATCAGTGAATTGACATTTGCAGGTAAAGCTTCAATTCAGTTTACAAAGAGAAGCTTAGTTCTCAAGGAAAAACATTTGATTTTACAAAAGTAATCCAGTTCAATTTGCTCCCATTTTATGAAAGAGCCAGGAAATGGGGGCTGAATTTCTCTATTCCCTTTCATTTCTTGTCGAAGGGCAGTACTAATTTCAGTATTTTACATCAGGACTGGTTAGATCCCTACTGTAGTCCCAGACTTGGCTTAGAAGAAAATCAGCCACTAAAGTCTGAGGAAATTAAGCTCTAACACAGACAAGATTTTTACTCACATTTGGAAGTTATACCGTAATGTCAAAAATTAGCCCTAAGAGTAATTTACATGCTTCTCCCCTTCTCAAAGACGAAAAGTCTACTAGCGTCACCAAATTAATTTCACATGCAACCAATTAATCTTGTAATCTACAGTAGTGACTGTTTCTAGAGGTTATGAAAAAAATCGATATATTTGTTCGAACAAATTAATCTGTGTTCAGCACAGCCATTTTATGTAAGCCACTGCTCTGAAAAGACTGGCGATATCTATAAACAATTGTCGGCATAAACCTTACCTAGTAATCCTCCGTAGGACGATGTCTGCTTGGGCGGAACACCAAAGAAAAGCTGTCCTATTCTATCTAGGTACTGAAACGACACAAAATGGAGAACAATGTCAGCTACTTCCTCTACAGGTGGAAATACTATGGGCAGCAGTCACACCACACCAGCTAGACCACTGACTCCTACAAGTCACAAACCAGGAGACAACCAGCTATTATTTAACTAATTCTGTAGCTTAAATCCTGTTTACAACTATGGGTAACTCACCTCATTATACATGGGGTCTCTTTTCAGTGAAGGTTGATACTGTTCGCACAATACTGTAAATACTGTTAGTTTTCCTCTAGAAAGGAAACAACCAAACATGTAATCTCAGTAACAACTGAAAAGGAAACCAAGAACAACATGAGAAAAATCAGACTGTACCCATCAACTGCCAGTAGCAGAAACCAGATGAAGTTTAGCAGTGGCTGAACAAAGGGCGGACCCTTTTCTATTGAAGGATGTTTCTGCGTGTATGTCGTAAAAACAACTGATGCGCTGGTCTTATTTTTTAAGCAGAGAAATCTGCAAAAGGAAACAGAACAGGGCGAGTTAAAAATAAAAGGCAGAGAAGTAGTTTTACATGCAGAAAGAAAAAGGGAAGCCAAAAGCTCAACAATCTCAACTTCAGTTGTGCATAGAAGCCATCTCAGGATTAAATTGATGCCAAAACCTAACAGGTAGAGATGTATATCTTTGCTAATGGTTTGGCTGTCAACTGAGGAAGGGGAAAATCACTACTAGAATACATTGTGGAATAAGCAGGTTGGGAGAGAGAATTGACATTCAATATTAATAGAGTGAGTTTAACCAAGATCTAAGCAGATTGCATGTGGGACAGTTACTAAAAGAGGGCATCACTTAAATCAAAATGTGGAAAGACTGGTCACCACGTAATTCAGATTAACCATAATACCGCATTTGCTGGTCCACAGCTTACTATGCTGAGGTAAAAACTGAATTAAAGACCTCTCTCCTGGCCCCATCCACTCCCAAACACATCTCCTTTCAGTATGTATCTGCCAGCATCTAACAACTCTGCCATTCTTTTTCCACTACCTCAAAGTAATGCGGCATCAAGGACTGCTAATAAGTTTGACACACGTGTCTAAAAGTCTCATAATAAAGCTACACTCTGACCTCCCAAGCCCTTTGTCACCAGATCGATTTCCCAAATGGATCTTTGCTCTTTCCCAAATCTTTGCTCAGGTCCAGTTAATTCAACTGGCAGTCTCTGCAAGTCCCATAGGCCTAACAAGAGACTTCAACTGGGACAAATGCTGTCAGCAAGCACAGGGAAGGCTGCCACGAGCAGTCTCATTTTTGGTCACAGGCTGGCCTCCAACCCTGTACCTTCACACGCGCAAGGGCATTAGGCTCTTTTGCCTTACTGCTGAGCAAGGAACTGCAATTATTTTCATTAGAGTCTAAACTGCTGTGTAAGAGGATTTAGTACAGTATTTGAGATATAGGCCAGTAAAGGATGCAGTAGTCGTGCTGTATAAATACTGCAAAAATAATCTCTCTTACTCGTAACTTCTCCCCAAAATTTCCCCCCCCCTCCAGAACAAAGCCCCATAAAATAGTTTGAGAGTCCTGCATATACTGGATTTTTCATAAAGGATTTTCTACCACTCAAAATCACTGCAATCTGTATCAACCAGCTATGGAAAGCAGGACAAATCTGACATGACAGCTCCCTGCTGCCAAAAGAGAGACAGACTTGCTCTCACCTCCTCCCTCTCCCCCAACACCTACTCTCTCCCTGACTCCCTGCTGCACAGTCCTGTCTCTACCTCCTCCTCAGACTCCTCCATGCGCTGCTTCCCCTGACTGCAAGAGAGCCATCAGCTGATTAAACACAGTAAAATTGGCTTTGTCCACCTTAATTGCACATGAGCTCTGCAAATGCACTTAATAGCTTGCATTCC